CCCCCTCCTCCTTCCTCTGATCCCTGAAACCAACCCCAGGCCAATACACCTCTCCAACGTGGTCCTGGGACCACTCCGGCCTGGCCAGGCCTGGTGTACATCAACCTTAGCAGTCGGGGGCAGCCTGCCACAAGGGCCACAGAGTGTGCCCACAGCAAACAGGAGGCATCTGCCAAATACTAGACAAAAACTATCAAAAGGAAGACTTTTTATTTCAAGTTTCTATGTAAATATTACAAACAATGTAGACTTAAAAGAAGAACACTTAAAATTTTTTAAGTAACTATAGCTTTCAAATAAAAATATGATTAGGCAAAATAATAAATAATGCCATCCCAGGGCAATGTTTAAGATCAAGGCATGTCGTCTGCCTGGCCTGGCCCTGCTCTGCATCTGTCCACATCCCCAGCACCCTGTCCTTCAGGCCACTCGTGTGCCCGGCCTCCTGATGATATAGGAATGAAAGGCCCACACCATCCAAATCTTGACTTTATTTTTAATATAAAAAATGCAAATTTGGAAACCCACCCTACTTCCCCCCCTAACATAATGCTTTACCTCTTAAAAATAAAAATAAAGTACTAATTCTATATACATCACATGTACCATACAAAAATGTATCCAAAGTTCTATTGCTACCAAAGTGTTCTAAATTAAAACAAGTTACAGAAAGCCCCTCATTGTAAACAAAAGATTACAAGTTACAAAATCAAAGTACACACAGGCCAGAGTCATTTATATAATCACGCAACACATTCTGCTCCCAAACCAAGTTGAATTTTTATGTGCCTGTATAAAAATGCATATCAATATACTTTTGCAAATTTATTTTTCATTATAAAGCAACTGAATACACTTTCTACAATAAATAATCCGCTGGGAGGCACGCCTGTAGGAGTCGGGGCGGACCAGAGGAGACTCAGGGCAGACAGGACGATGAGAAGGAGGGCCCCGCCCAGCGTCACGCTGGCGGGAGTGTTTTTGGTGATTTGCAAGTGATGCACACAGCATAAATTTACTCTCCATCTCTTTGCACAAAGTACCATTCAAAATAATGTCATTTTCTTTCTTAAAATACACATTTGTCATTGTAAATTTACATCCCCGTCTTATTAAATAAGTGGTACTCTGTGTAAAGAGCATGATTTACAAAATTATTAAACATTCAAAAGTCTTTAAAAAAAAAAAAAAGCTACATACAGATGGAAGCAAGTGAGGCACGCGGCACCACCAGAGCATCTTGCCCACACCGGGTGCACCCCACCTACCACGCGCCAAGACGAGATGGTTTCATAGAAAACTCCGAAACAAAACCTCCCCCCGCCCCTGGGAAAAAGAATTAAAAGAACTATGACTACGAAATCAGAATAAGTTAAGTTTTGAACAATATACAAACATATACAGCTTATGAACACTATGGACAAGGCTCACGGCTGGCGACGGCCTGGGCAGCCTTCTGCAGGAGCTGCCTCAGTCAATGTCGCTAAGGTCGCTGGCCGGCTCCCCATGCACACGGCTCAGGTGGTTCATGGCCCGGTCAAAAGCAATTCGCACAGCCTTCCGGATACTGGAGTTCCGCCCTTCCATCATCTTTAACTTGTCGATGGTCTCGTCAACACCAAGAGGAACCATCTTGGACTTAGGAAGCCACTGCCTTTTTAAAGAAAAAGTAGGGAAACTAAGACCCATATGCACATTCTGTAACCGCTAACCACCAGCCCTTGTGGACTAGGAGCCTGGCAAAGCCCAGCTGAGGCTGGCTGGTGTGGACCAGACTCCTCCAGGAGCAGAGTAGGTAACGTGCACAGTGCATCCCCACTTTCCCTGTCCCTCTCTGAGAACCAGTCAGTCATCTCCTCCAAATCTCCTCCCTGAGGACAGGCACACACACATTCAACACAGGCCAGGTGAGCCCTAGAACAAGGGGATGCCCTAGGATAGGAGTAGCAAGAACCTACGACAGAGGTCCTTGGATGAGCCAGGCCACGGGAGCCTCCCTCCAGGTGTGATAAGGAACAGCAGCCAAGCAGCCAGCAGAAGCAGGTAGGCAAGGCAGAGAAGATGGCACAGGGTGCAGATGTGTGCCCCAGAGTGGCTGGCTCCCTGGAGTGGAGTGAAACATCTCCTTGTGGCCAGACAGGGAAAGCCCACACCCAACTGGATGCTCCTCTTGATGACACAAATGGTCAGGACAGTTGGTGTGGTGTGCCCCATCCTCAGAGGGGGTTCTGGATTCTGAACCATGGCACACGGTGGGTGCGAGGTGCTCTAGGCCTCAAAGCAGAGCTGGGGAATGGAAGAGCAGATGATGCATGCAGACAGCTCTAGGTAGAGGGGACCTGCATCTTGACAGAGGACAGAGTATGAGGCCCACTGCAGGGGCCCCTGGAACACCACTGTAGACACCAAAAGTAAAAGAAGAAACAGAGTTCACGCTGGCCAGGACTCAAGAAGAAGAGGAGGCTGTTGGTAGAGAGATCAGTGCTTGATGGTCCTCCCCACAGTCCCTGTGGGGTCACTAGACAATGCCCTTCTCAGACCCCACCATGCACACTGGAAGTGCAAGGACCCAAGGTAGCCAGCACTCTGTGGCACTTCGGCCCCACACAGCATGGCAGGGTCCAGCGCACTGAGCAGGAAGCAATCCCCAGCCCCGTCCTGTCCTGCAGAGCCCTGGCTGCTGACACTCACCAGCTTCTCTTATTGTCAAAGAACAGAACGAGGAACAGCTTCTCATCGGACTTGGTCTGCATGTGCTCTCCAATCTTCAGCACGTCCAAGGGTGGGGCAGGGATGGTGACACCGTTGTGGTGGCCAGGCACTCGAGGCATCTTGGGGTCGATGATCTGCCAAGGGCACACTCCAGTCACTCTAAGAGCTCACATCCAGAGCTGCACGCCCGGCACACCCCCAGCAGCCACTCACACACCTGCCTCCCGCCATGAGGGCCACACACTGCCAGCAGCACAGGCAGGCGCCACAAAGCAAGGCACAGGCCATGCACTGGGAAAGCAAGGCACAGGCCATGCACTGGGTCCCAGGCCCCAGCAGAGCAGGCCCCGCCCACAGCGCCCGACTCACCAACGCCGGGTAGGAGGGGTAGCCGCTGCACTTGGCCCACACCACTTTCAGGGGCTCCAGAACGGAGGCTGCGGCGTCAGTGGAAATCCACATGCTGTTCTGCCCCACTTCTGGGAAAGAAGGAAGCCCCAGCAGTGAGTGACCCAGGAGAGCCGCAGTGCTCCTAGGGCCCAGCACAGCCACACAGTCTAAGGGCGGCGGACTCCCAAGCACGCTCCTGGCCTCTCAAGCAGGAGGGCAGTCAAATGAACACTATCCCTGGGTCTGAGGGACAGAGAGCCATCCCACTGCCCCTCCTATGGAAGTCAGGGACCCATGTACCCCCCAACTCCCCATACAGCCTGCCCATGGTCCACGTGCCTCCCTATGACCCAGAAAATCCCATGCCATCCACAGCTCCAAGGCCTATAACACCTATAATGCCAGGTCCCCAACACCCCACTTCCTGAGACCCTCTCTCCAAGGGCAGGCCCCTGGCTTGATACAGATGCATCTTTCAAAACTGAAACCTCAAACTCAAAATCATAATTCTGGCCACTTGCAATAAAACTACCACCTGTTCCTAGGACCCGTCCCCCACATTCCCAGAACCCACCACCTCCAAGAGCCCACACTAGCCCCAGGCCCTCCTCATGTCAGTACACTCTCATTCATCAGCCTCTCCCAGTCCCCATGGCACCCTGCCGCAGCCCACATGGCCTGATCACCTGTTGCCCCACACCAGCCTCCCTGCTGTCCCTGCCCTCCCCACTTCAGGTCTCCGCCCTGATACCCTCACAGCATGCAGCTGCTTCACAGGAGACCTAGCCACCAGATCCTCAGCCCCAAGCCACAGAGGGAACTTCTGTCCTCAGGACTAACCAGTCAGGCCAGCCCAGCCCCCATCCACCCCACTGTGACCCGTTCAGCTGCAAATGGCTGGCGAACCCAACAAACACATGCGCTGGGATGATCTGGAGCCTTCTAGAGCCTGCTTGATGAGGTCCAGGGTAGTCCTGGGAGCCCAGCACAAGAGTCCCTCATAAGGGGAAGTGGTCTCGGCTCATGGCACAGTGGTCCCTGGGACAGTCTGCAGTCTCCACCCCAGAAACGCTCACCAGAGGCCACACACACAACTCACCAGCTGCAATCCTGGCCGCCTTGGCATAGTTCCCGTTTTCAATGCAGGATATCAGCTCACTCCTATCCTCCAGTGTGTGTCTGCGCACAAGGGCAGGCTTGCCTCGCCCGCACTTGGGTGTGCTAAAACTTGAGGAGGAAAAGCAGAGTTCAGTCCAGGACTAAGACCCAAAGCACAGAAGGCCCTACCCACTGCTTCCCCCAAACCAGGCTGCATGGCGAAGCTGCCAACCACCAGGCTAGGTTGCAAAGATGGAGCCTAACAACCCTAGGACTGGCCTGCTGGTGGGGCTAGAGGAGGACGAGCCTGTCACTGTGAGGGCTGTTCCAGCTGCCAAAGTGGCCTCCGTGGGGCAGACAGGCTGCTGGGCTATGCTGACCCCATCTTGCTAAAGGCAAGATTTGGAGAGAAGAAGACAAAGTATAACTCTAACTATAGATTCTAAAATGGTGCTAATCTTTTATGTAGTTTTATTTTCCACTTCTGATTAAGTTTTAAGAAGCAGATCGATATATCTCATGGGAACTCATCTTTACAGGGCAGAAAACACACATGGACCCCAGGCCAGCCTCTCTCAAGGGGTCTTAAGATGGGAACTAAAGGCAGGCAAGTGCTGGGGAGACACAAGAGCGGAGATGAGGCCAGTGCCCACCTCGAGTCACAGAGCGGGCTGTTGCTGGAAGAGATGCTAGACTCGGATGCACAGCGCCGTCGGGGTGCAGCTCTCCTCCCCAGGCCACTGCCTGGCTCCTGCTCCGTCCTGGCACCCCCAAAGCCATTGGTGAGACCTGGAACACAGGTGGGCAGGTGCCGGGTCAAGCGCTGCCAAGGCTGCTGCTCACATCTGACTTTTCTAGGCCTCACGCTGCACTTTTTTCTTCAATATGGACTGTGTTCTCCAAAGAACCCTTCCTCCCCATGACCTGCAGCAGTTAGCCCAGTGCTCACCGCACCGGAGACCCAGAAGCGCTCATCCAAGTGAAGTGAGCAGTGAAAGTAAGCACAAGTCAAAGTTACTCTGCGGGGGAAGAAAGCACTCTTCTTAAGGAGACTTTCTAAGAGGTCCCATGAAGGCAAAGCCAAGGGCATCTTGCCATCCCTTCCCAAATGACCAGGTCACACATACTTCCATGAACTTGTGACAAAGGCCAGCCTGCCCTCCCTAAAGGGACCAACCCTGGACAAGGCCCATCAGATCCCCAAGGTAGTGGGGCACAATCACCATCACCAAAAATGTCTCAACTTGCAGATCTGCAGGGCACAGAAAATTATTTTTTTTCCTTAAAGCTTTATTTCAAAAGACAGGTATTAACATGAACCTGAAAAATGCTGGTAAAATACTTCAAAATAGGAAGTGAGGCCCCCATTCATCAAGGCTCCCCCAACACCACCAGCACCAAACTACATGGGTGCACTGCTCAGGGAGGTGGACTCGCAGGGGTCCCAGTGTCTAGTGGCTGGACAAATACGACTTCATCATCTTAGTGAGTAAAAAGTGCTTTAATCAAGGCAGAGCTCAGCTCCTCTGCCCTTCCTCCTGAAGAAGCCAGACTCTGGATCAGGAGGCTGGGAGGGGTGGCGGCATGTCCTGGCCGCACACCTGGCAGGGCTCCCTCTGGTGTGTGTGTGGGGAGGGGGGGGGGGAGGAAGAGGAGGAGGAGGAGGAGGAGTGCTTTTTCCAAAACAGAATCCCATCTTCAGGCTTATCTCATCCTTAAAACAAATCAATTGCAAATCTATTTTCAGAGTAATAACGTAAAGCATTTTTTCAGGAATCTTTTGGAGTGCGTGGCCAGACTGCAAGCTTCCAACTGCACGTGTGCTTTCTTGCCTGCCTTCCCTCCGTGAAAAGGACCTGCTTCTGCTGACACAGGGCTCCGACATGCAACAAGCTTCTTCACACCCTTCAACATTTGCTCATTTGCAGTGCAGATGACACATAGGCTGAGGCAGGGTCTGGTGCCACACTCAAGTCACAGAGGTGCTGCAAGGCTGACTGATCCAGGAGCAGAGGAACGCACGCCCCAACTCTGGCCGAAGTCAATATAGGTAGCCCACTCAGCAAAGACTGGCAGACAGATGGGACAGACGGATCCCATGCTCAGGACCCAGGGTCTGAGAAGGGACTGAAAGCCTAGTGCCCTCTGCCATCACTGAACCAAGCTGCCACAGACTTACGGGTCTGCAAGTAAGTCTCAAGGTCTTGAACCAGCAGGCGCCAGCATAGGTGCCTCCACCCAGGAAAAAGCCCAGGACATCAGCAGGACCAGCCAGGACCACACACATGGCCCAGCAGCCAAGGCCACTCACTCAAGGTATAGGGACAGACGTCACTCCAAAGCCTGAGTGAAAACCCAATGCAGTGATTTCAGATGCCAAAGCGCAATCTCAAGGGACACTTGCCTCCCTGTGATGTGTACAATCCAAGACCCTCAGTTACAAAGGCCAAGTAGCACGGCCAGGCCAAATGTCAGGTCCATCAGGGGCAGCTGGGGAGGACCTCAAACAAGGAAGGAACTGAGGGCAGAGCAGCAGCCAGCCTGACCCACACAGCTGGTGGAGGCCAGCTGGGGGAAGAGGACGAACCGTGGTAGCCACTCGCAGAACCAGCCTGGTGACAGCAAGCCAAGAGGAAGTGCACACAGCCCAGAGGCACCTGAGTGCTCCCAGGAATGATGGCATCAGTCCAACCCACACCAAGGAGCCTGGCTGGGACCCCAAAGTGACCCAGGAATCAAAAGATGAAAACGCAGAGGAAGGTCCGTGATTCTGAGAAAAAAAGAGAATGTTCAAATGTCTTCCACTTAGTTTTCCAGAGCACGCACTTAGAGGGCACCCCACGTACAGGCTGAAAAGCTGTGTACACCCAGAGCTTTCTACTTCACAAGGTCTCCGCAGTAAGTGCCTCAGAAGGGGCAGGCACCTGCTGGGAGCTAGGCACAATGGCATAAAGCAGAGCTCGAGGCCACGTTACCAGGAGGGTGTCATGCAGACACAGCTAGGGACAGCCAAGACAGGCCAAGGGCCCAGGACAAGACGTCACTCCAGGTCCCGCAGGTAGGACTTGCCAGTTGGCCCAGCAGACGTTGCACACAGTCAGCCAGAGTGGGCGCTGCTCGATACTCCAGGAAAAAGCAAAGCTGAAGCAGGGCTGGGACACCTGCATAGGCAGACTACACCCTGCAGGGCTTTCAGGTAGGCCCTGGACATGCCCTAGGAGGCAGTATGGCTCAGGGATCCTGGGCCAGCCTCAGAAAGGCCTTGCAGCCACAGCCTGGAGGCCACAGGACTACGATGCAATAGCCAGGCACAGACCCTTCCTGCCTCTACTTCCATCATGGCCCCTGGACTGGCCTCCTGTGCTGATCCCTCCCACCAGCTGCAGGCTCAGGACAAGACATTCTCATGGCACTGAGGCCACTGAGCTCACCAGGACCCCTTCCCCTAAACTCTGCAAAGAACTAAACACCACCCAGTCTAGGATGAGCACCCGGCCCACAGGGCATCTGCAAACAGCAGGAGATCACAGAGCACCAAGCTTCTAAATCATGTATACAGTGGTAACTTTCAACCAATGAAAAGGCTGGTGTTATGATAAAGAACAAGTGAAAAAATGAAAGGGGCGTACTTTGAAGCAGTTACTGCTCCAAGCCCCAAGCACTCACCTGTAAGCACAATGGAGCCTGCAAAGACCAGCCCCAGGACTGCCCTGCTCTAGAGCAGACCATGAACCAGTACAGATGCCATCAAGCCCAGGTGGTCCCAGCCACTCAAACAGCTAAAGAATCCCTGGTAGCTCCCTTGTACCCAGGACTTTTTGTAGCACACCTGGGGCTGTTGGGGTGATCCCAAAGGACTTCCTGAGTCAGTCAGGACTCCCTTTTCCAAGCAGCTCACACACATGGCAGGGAAAAGCCCCCAGGTGGTTCCCTGGGAGATCAAGGTGTCCCCACCCACGTGGATGCCAAAACCCCTCTGGCTGCACTGGATGAGAACACCAGGGCCTGGTAAGCTGGGCAGGCCAGCTCTCTGCCCTCCACCTTCAGCCCTATGGTCTCAGATACACCTGAGAATGGAGACACCATGTGTGCTCAGCCTGTGTGAGCAGGACACAAGCCTCACCCCTGCTGTGGCCAACAAGCCACCACCGTGTTTCCTGGACTCATGTAACACGACATGAAGTGGGCACTGAGCCAAGGCCCAGCGTCTTGTAGTCCACATCCTCCAGGCATGTCAAGCCTCTGCCCTGCTCCAGGCCAGGGGGCCAGAGCACCGCAGGCCAGTGGAAGGTGCCACATCTCCTGCTGGCACATTTTTCAGTTCCTGCCTGCCCAATGGACTGCACTTTTGGTGCCCTTTCCCGCCTTTCAACCAAAGTATAGCAAACAAAGACGACTCCAGCCACTGCCTGCTTTTGCAGAGATGTGCTTCATGCAGAACAGCTAGGGACAGCCAAGATAGGCTAAGAGCCCAGGACGAGATGTCACTCCAGGTCCCGCAGGTAGGACTTGCCAGTTGGCCCAGCAGACGTTGCACACAGTCAGCCAGAGTGGGCGCTGCTCGATACTCCAGGAAAAAGCAAAGTAAAGAGAAGCAAAGGGAAAGGGGAAATCAGGTAGAGAACCAAGAGATGAAAGATGCTAACAACTGAGGGAGAAAAATGGTGCCTGGGCCCCATCTTCAGAGGTCATCAGAGGCCAGGTCTGGGCATGCTCAGGATGGAGCTCAGACTGTCCAATTATGTTGTCCATGCTATGACAGTTTTCTGCCGCAGAACAAGGCTCTCCTCGCCTCCTTCACAACTATCCAAACGGGGAGGCCCAAGGTGCTGGAAAGTCCCACCAGCTGAAGTGGGATGCCGGGGCACCAGCGCCACTCCCCCCGCCGGGCTGACTTAGAGATGGGTGGGCTGGCCACAGCAGAGTTCTCCAAGGGCTGCTGTCTGTGTTTTTGATTAGAGGATGGATGAACGGATGATTCCAATATGATCCGCAAGAATTACGTGCAAGGCAAGGAGCAGCGATGGCTCTGTGTCCCACTCCAGTCCAAGTCGAAGTAAGAGAAAGGGATTAGGATCCAAAGAGGGAGCTACCCAGCATATTAGCAGTTAAATGAGAACCTGGAAAACAGCGAAAAAGCCATTTAGTGGGACTGGAAGTGCAGAGACAGCTCAGCCCCCTCCCTGTGCAGGAGGCAGCTCACTGGCTCGCCCCCCATTCACGACCGTCTCCAGCAGGAGGCTCCAGCACTCGCCCTGGACGGAAGGTCTAGTGTTGGAAACAAGCGAGCAGTCACAGAGGAAGAACGTAATCGGACAGGGCCAGCTCCGAAGGTGTGACACCTAGGAAAGTAGAGTCACAGGCCCTGAGCCCACATAAGGCCTAATGCACCACAGGCCTATCCCATAGCCACAAGCCAGGGTGGCACAATGACAGATGGATGAGCAGTCTCAGAACCAACAAGTCTTTCCTTGATCTAACTTGGAATCTTGCCATGCACTGGAGAATACCAGAGAGCTTCCTATAAGTTCAAAGCACAAAAGTGAATCTGGGAAAAATCAGGACTTCTGAATACTTCAAGGCCTCGGACTACAACTCCAGCTAGAAATTCAGGTGCACAGAGAGCACCAGACAGTTCAGAAGGAAACACAGCTAGTACAAAGGCAGGACCAGCTCACTCAGCCTGCACCTGGCCCACCTTGGGCTAAGCAGACACAGCAGCGGACACCTGCTGCTCCCAAGAGCCTGATCTTAGCGCAATTAAGGTTCCCAGCTGCTCAGGAACACGCTTAGGAATCCACCATGCATCCACTGACTCTACTGCCATTCTGGAACAAGAAGCAGAAACCTCCATTTCAGTCAGGGCCAAGGCACACTGTGGATCACACAAATCACAGGTCCCCAGTAAGGCTGCCTTCAGACTCACCGTCACCACTGCAAAACACTCCAGTGAAATACAGAAATAAGAATGAAAGGGGCACACGTCATTTTTCACAAGCAACACCTGGGGAACAAGTCTGCATAGCCCCTGAAACCACATCGCTGGGTGCAGCCCATCAGCAGCATCCAGCAAGGCCTACTGGGATGAGGGCCTGCCTGGCAGAAGCTTGCCACCTGCACATGCAGAGGAAGGGCACAACCTTGGACACCAGATACATGGAGGTCCCCTTTCCCACAGCACCCTGAGCCCTGTGTTGCCAACAGACACGAGGCCTAAAATCTGCTCTGCATGGAGAGGCACCGGAGACTGGAGCCTGCAACAGCTGGGGCCTGCCCTGTCACTGTAACCCACTGCTTCCCATCTTTGGGCCTTTCCAATCAGCTCAAATCACAAGGTGGAAAAGTCTTTTACTAAATTTGGCTGAGAAAGGCAAAAGCATAGTTAAGGAGGAGTCCCAAGGCTAGAAACGTCCAACCTCTACCTTCATAACAGTGTCTTATGAAACACTCAAATCACTTCATTTCACGTAGAGACAGGAGTCTCATCAAATTTCTAAATGATAATGCAATACCCACCCATTGAAATTAGAGGACAAGGATAGAAAGTTCCTATAAGATTGCACGAGCAAATCAAAATGAAAATTCATTCCAAGGCCCTGGGTTCAATCCCGATCAACCCTTCACCTTCAACTTCTCCCTCCCCACCTCCCACACACAATTTATAAAACCATGGTATCTTTATTAGCTATGGGAGGAAATGTACAAAGATCCACATGGTACTTCAGGCCAGCAGTCCCCCAAAGGTGGGAGGCTGCAGACACCCTACAGCTGGCCACACCCACTACCCTCCCCATCTGACCAGCACCCACTCTGGGACATGAAGTAACAACTACATCAGCCCCATGTTCTCACTGCCAAGAGGTACAAGAAACCACCCGCCCTCAGGCAGTGAAGAGGAGATGCGCTTCTGTTTATCTAGGTATAAGAGGTGGACAACGAACAGGAACCAAGCTCTGACCAGGGCCAGAAACCAAAGGAAAAACACCTCCAAAACAAAAAAAGACACTGGAGATCTGATCCTGGAACCTTCCAGTTACACAGCCATTATAGAATGACTGGCGACAGTCATTCTTTAAAGAACACAAGAAATTTATTGGCCTTCACCTGAGGGGCAGGTTTAGAGATTGCCAAAGAGCCAAGGTGGCTCCCTTCAACAACAGCAAGGTGCAGTTTCATGGAGTGCCATGGAGGGGCGCCTGGGACATCTTGGTGAACGGATGCAAGGCCCTGTACAAGCTCAGCACTGTCTCGGCAGGTGGTGAGGCCACACTGCACCAAACACTTGGAAAACCTGTCCTTTAGACTCATGTGCTAAGTGCTGCAACAGAAGGTCCAGCTGCCAATCAGGGTCCTGGGCTCACAGGGACTTCAAGAGACCCTCCAGAGGGCTGGGAAGGGCTGAGAGGCCAGCAAGTGCCCGGCGCAGCCACTCACAGTTCACCCAGACACAGAATGGTCAAGGTGCTCAACCAAACCACACGTAAAGCTGAGTTTTAAAAAACACAGAGAAGAAAGGAGACAAAGGAGAAATCAAGGCCATTCCCCTGCAGCCTCAGGACCAGCCCTGGCCTGGACACTCCTCACAAGGGTGCCAATCCTGGACTCAATCCAGAGCTTTTGAAAGGAAAAAAAAAAAAACAAAAAAAACACCTTTTTTTGTCATCTTCTCTGGAAATAAGAAAACAGGACACTGCAAAAAACAGCTCAGCACCAAAAAGTTCATATGAAGACCCCTGGAGGAAGAGCGTGTCGCGTGGCAGCCGCCCCTGACATTTACCTGTGTCCAGGCGCTTTCCCGGGGACTCCTCCTCCACCTCGGAGTCTCCACATGTGCTCCGCGACCTTTTCCGTGGCTGCAGTAGAGTCTCCAACCTCGGAAGGACTACAGACAAAAAGGTTTTGGTCCCTAGCTGAGGAGAAGTTGGCTGGGTTTCAGTGTTCTTGGCAGACTTTGGGGGGCTTACACTTTTCGATTTGCAGAAGAGAACAGAAGTGCGTCTGTTTACATCGCTTGATGGCTCCGCCACTGCGGAGGCCGCCGCCGCCGGCACATCGCCACTACTGGCGAGGGTGGGCTCTGGAGGGTGTCCGCTTACCAGTGCGCTCTGAGTGCAAGTGCTATGTGATGCATTATCAAATGTGACTCTTTTGAATAGTTTACTCTGCTCGGGGTTGAGTTCTACTGGTTTGAGGGTTGGTGGTTCTGAATTAGTCTCCGAGTTTGAAGGAAGAGGTAATGCATCTGATGGTTCAAGTTTAGGGGGAGATTTATCTCCTGAAAAAATTATAAATAAAGTGATTTTTGAAACTGAAGATTATAAAATCTATCATAAAACTTACTATAAATGTGAAGTCCACCAATATACTAATTCAATCAAGGAAACAAAGCATCACACACAACCATCTGTCGAGCAGTGGGGCAGCCCGGGGTCCCTCGGGCCACACTGTGTGCCTGTCCCTAACCAGAGACTGCGGTCTGGTACCCTGGGCCCAAGTGCACAGTTACTTTCTGGAGAAAGCTGAACATGTGCTTCACACACATCAATATTGGCTTGTCACGATTTCTACAATCAACATTCACTTACCTTGAGGAGGACAAAACAGCCACAGAACTAAGGGGACCTCACACAGGATCCCACAGCACTCTACACTGCACCCGAGGCGCGCCAACAGAGGGAACAGACATTAAATGGTTCTGACCAGGGCTAACTGCTGGGAGTGGCTCGGGATTAGGAAGGAGTCCCAGGAAGGGCAGGAAATGCCCCACTCCTTCAGAGTACCCATCTGCACAGAAGCCCTAAAGACTGAGGGCAATTCTCACATGCCTGATTTGAACAGTCTTTGGGAGAAGACTATTTTAGCCTCTTGCAACAGGTGTTTAAAAACTACCAATACAACAGGACATGGAGCTGAGCTCCCAGGTTTAACCCTGGGAGGCAGCTGTCTGGCTCTGTAGAGAGCATGAGTGCATGCCACGCGGGGCCAAGACACTGGGGTTTCGGGATAGGACTGATTTGGGCTACAGGAGGTGTGATATTAAAAAGACAAAGAGATACAACTTAAATGATCCAGTAGTATACATTATCACTATGTGTCTTTTTTTTTTTTAATATTTTTTAGTTGTAAATGAATACGATGCCTTTATTTTATTTTTACGTGGTGCTGAGGATCAAACCAGTGCCTTCCACATGCAAGGAGAGTACTCTACCACTGAGCTACAAGCCCAGCCCCATGTGTCATTTTTATTTTATTAAAGCTGCATATACCTACAAATCATTTGAAATATGTAAGGTTGATATTTTAAATTCAAGAGTTCACTTTGAAAATGAAAAGCTCCACAAGTTACAAGCTTCACTAGGTGTCTGGCCATCTGATCAACTCAGAGCAAAGACTCCAAAGTTATCTCTAACCCTCAAGAGCAGAGCGCAGGGAGGCTGGTCACGCACCCACAGATGTGTCACTGCCTGCCACAGCAACCCCACCACCAAGGCACAAGTGCTGCCTCAACCAAAAGGCCTTCTGTCTTAAACAGTGTCACACAGGGAGCATACACATATCTAGCACGTAACACTCATGCCCCAGGGGCCAGCCACCTGCTTCTCCAGATCACAATATCTAGGAATTGGAAACACTGAGCTCCAAACACTGACATCAGTGCGAACAAGTCTCCTCACCCGCCCTGGTTAAGTCACCATTAGTTTAGGAAAACATGCTAAAATAAATGAAATACAATTTAAAAAAAAATAAAATAAAATAAAACAGTTTAGGAGAATGTACTCACAAAGCACACAGGAGTGCCAAGTAGCTGTGCCTGGGGAACACGCAGAGCCTGCGGAAAGCTCTACTCACACTGTGCCTGCACTGCATCCCTGACAAAAGGGCTGGCTGGTAAGGGGCACGGGGGTGCCTGGGGCTGTCACCAGCTTGATTCTGCAGCCCAGCTCGGCTTGGCTGCACTTCTCTCCTGGGGCCTGCAGGCACGAGGCTTGCGTCCTGGCTAGGCTACCCCTCCAGGGCTGAAAAACCCCTCTATCTACCACTCTGGCTCAACCCCGGGGGCCTTATATATTCCCGCACAAAGTCATTCCTCGCAGTCCACATCTTCCAACCCCTGGTGCTGTGTGGCCACACTCCCCATGTGTCCTCCACCCGTGCCCTGTAGTCAGCCCACATGTAAGCCCAGGTTCCCAGCCACCACCCTGTGGCTCACTGGACATGCTGCTGTGGTGTTTACAAGGCGGACACAGGAAGGCAGGCACTGGAAAGAGAAGGCTGCCCAGATATACAGACTCAAAAACACCTCCACACACTGTGGGACCCACACAGGCTGCTCAACCTCTCTGTGCCTCCATTTCCTCACCCATAAAATGGGGAAACATCAGCACCCCAGCCTCTCTGGGCAGCTGCAAGGAGAGTGAGTTTCTAGGGTGGCTGGCTATGAACACATCCCCAGTAGCTACCACCCCTTCTGCCAGGGCTTCGGCTGACAGAGAAACGTGCCCAGTCAGGTCACTCAAGTTAAGCCAGATGGGAAGTTAATACATGCCTATGAAAATTCTTTGTATCAATGGCTGTTATCAATCACATGCTGTTATTTAACTGCATGTGAGAAATGATCGATTAACTTCTAGAATAAATTCTACACAACTCAAGCACACAGCTTGAACGTGAATATAAAGGCAGGTACCCTGAAGTCCCCCTAGCCAAGACTTGGCTCACACATAGCAGCAAAACTGCTAAACATGAAACAGCCTCACACACGGGGTCAGATCCAGACTGGCTACTCCATTAAACTGAGGGATCTGGTGACCATGCTTTGACACACCTGGCCACCTTCCACCTGAATGCTTGCACCCAAGCCCAAACCTCTGGAAACCACTGGGTTGGGTGGGGGGTTAGCCCATAGGAACATTCCCACCAGTGCTACCAATTGCTGTCCTCCTGTTCCTTTCATCAGCCACCCTGCGGGAACAGAGCTCACACACTAAGCATTCTGCACTTGAGTTAAAAATCCCTTCCAAACGTATCTATCCCTTCTGGCCATAGCATGGCACGTACACAGCAAGAACCTGACTACTATACACACAGTGGTGCCACATGCCTGCACTGCACTGACTCTGGAGCCTTCAGCAAGGGACAAGCACACCTCCTCATGACCCATCCAGGAGTGAGGTACAAGCCTCACTCACCACGTGTGGGCTCTTGCTCCTCCCAAAGCCTCTGCTTCACCAATCAACTGAAACCCCACTGGGTGGAAAGGCAGAGAGAAGGCTCCTAAGAGCTCAAGTTCACCTCACAAGGCTCACCATGCCCAAGTTCTAGACCTCGACCTCACTCAGCTGGATCTTGGTAACTCGAGCCAAGACAGAGAGGAACCTGGCAAATCAGCCACTCACCCCTGTTGTCAGACCAAGTCACGGCCGGCCAGAGAGCTGTGTGTCAATGCGCAGCTCCTAGGGTTATCCTGCCTGAAGTTCTTCACATGCAAACAACACAAATGTCACATCAACATCTTTCCACTGAAATTTAGGTGAAGCCATGCATTTGATATCAAGGAATTTCTGTCTTTACAGGAGTAACAATACTGCAGGTATATTTAATTAAATAACAGAGGTCTTAATCTTTCAGAAGAATGTGCTGAAATATTTCCAAGCATCTGGTCCCTGGTCTCAGCCATCACGGACACACTGAGCACACCTCCACACCAGCTCAGACGCACTTCTGGCTGCCCACCCCACGTTCACGCCATTCCCCATAGCGTATCTGCTCTGCCTGGAGATGGGACGTCGCCTCTACTCCCCTCAGAACAGATCAGGCTGTTTCTTTCCCCATCTGTCTTTCCCCTTAGCTAGAAGGAAAACACCCTTTTGTGAGTTCAGTCATTTCAAACACAGACCCAACAACCTTCAGCCATTCTAGGTGTCTTTGCTTCAGATAATACCATGCATGTTTTCTCTAAGATGACCCCAGCTGGCTCATGCTCAAGGTCAGGGGAATCTGGGGAGCCACACTCACAGCCGAGTGAGGGTCCTGGACCCTGTGCACACACTGTGGATGGAAGGCACCTTTGAGGAAAGACCTGTAAAGGCAGCACATGACTGCAGTGGGAAAGGTGGTGTCAGGGAGGGGGCTCTCCAAGGATGGAGCTGCTCCGATCAGGGTAACCAACCTGCTGACAAACCTCCTCCCTTAACTCACTGTTTTGTTCAAGGCAAAGAGACACTATACCTAAGAGCGGTTAAACCCCAGGATCATCCTCAGTCAGGGGACCGGCTCAGGCAGTGGCAAGAGGATCACCCTGGGAAACAGGCAGTGATGCCATCTAGGACCCACCAGGGCACAGGGACAGCAGCAGATGCCAGAAAGTCTGGCTGTCAAAGGTCCCACGAGCAAATGCTCCTCAAAGAAAGGTGCAGAATCTCCAGAGTCAGTAGGGTGTTACATGCTAGTGACAGAGGCTCACAGAGCACAGGGTGAACATGTGACACGCTGAGAACTTAATTCTTTACCGTGTGAACAGACCACACCACCACCAAAAAGGATGGAAGGGAAGGGCACAAGCACGCCCCAGCTGGACAAGCAGGAGGAGTTGCCAAGCCCAAGAAAGCCCAGGTGCTGGAGTGACTTCCTGCCAGCGCCTGACAGCAACAGGATGGAAGGCCTGACCACGCGGGGGCTGTCTGACACATTCAGCAGCCACCAACGGGGAGCTGCAGGAAGTGACATTGTGGGGACAAGAAGCAGGGAATCCCGTGTCAATCAAGAGCACACTCACAGCAACTGCATCTGTGGGTCTGCGTTCAGCTTCCCTATCCCCACTTGGATACGTGAGGAAAACACTCTGGGAGGTGAGAAACCACCATGGACAGCCGTGGCAGGAGCAGATCTTGCTCTGCTCTACTCTGTACAACTGGAACCAAAAGGGGGTGGTGAGTAGCAGGAGTGGCCTGCCGGCTCCACTCAAGCTGGTTTCTAACTCTCACCTGGACCCTACCTCCTCAACCCAGACATGTACAATTACCCTCCTGCCGCTACAATGCTACGTCTGCACTGGACTCCCCCGTTTCTCCACTAGACGGATGGATTTGTCCTCCTGTATGTCCCTCAGACCCATCGGAAGAGCTCTGCAGTCAGGAGAGTAGAGTCCATGGAGGGTCTTCGCAGGAAGGGCTCTGGCCTCTGCGGGGAGACACTGAGCCTCCTCCCACCATTCCACCACAGGGGGAGACTTCAGGGATAGCAGCCACTCTGAGGACTGGTGCATACCTCAGCAGCCCCCTCACTTACAAAACAGAAGCATTTCTCACTCTTACATGCAAACCACCTTGCTCTTCTATACACTGGAACATCTACATCATTCTTTAAAATGTTTTTTTTCAGGCCTGAATTGGGGGGGGGGGGGGCGGATATTTTATTCTCTGTGCCATAAAGTCTATAAACTATGCAAGTGCCAAAATATGATACAAAAGGCACAAACTGTACCATCTTTTCAAAAGGAAACAAAACCTGGTGGGAAACCACGATCAGAGTTTTTGTGAATTTCAAAGCTTACAACAATAGTGATGACCACAGAGCACTGGTCAAGGCTGACCCCCCACCACGCTTACCTTCCTCCCCTGTGTCAGGCCCCAGTGGAGCAGCATCCTCTTCAAAGCTGCCAGTCCCTGGCCCCTCTGGTGGGGACTGGCTGTGCTGCTGGCTAAGCTTGTTTCGAAGGACAGCAATTTCTCTTTTGAGCAGTTTTGCCCGTTTACTCCGCGAGCCGCTGGACTTCATTGAGCAGGTGAGGTCCAACTTGTCCAGCAGCTCTCTCAGCTGCTCCTCCAGGCCCAGGTGGGCCCTATTGGCGGGGTCCAGCAACCTGTCCACTAAACCAAAGGATAGACACCATAAACCATCAGATTCCAGGACCCCTCTGAGAATACTACACTGGTCCCAACTGTCCCTGAAACTGCCCTTGGCCACTCAAGGCTGTGCCCAGGCCCCTCTACCCATTCTCTGAACCCACGGAGGGCCAACTGCCACAAGGAGACACAGGAGGCTTTTGAAGGAGAATCCCTACTCCCACAGCCACCAGGCACAGTGGGGACAAGGTAGACGAGCAGAGGCGGTATCCAGATGACACCCACCTCCCGCCGAGGGTAGGTCCCAACTAAGTCTTCCTGGGTGGACAGCCAGATCTGAGCAAGGGTGCACAAGGACCACCAGAGAGATGCACATTCTCTACCAGTTCCAAGTCTGCCAGCAAAGTGATGGCATGCCATCAGGCCCACCTAGGACTGGCACTCATCACAAGATCCCAGCCAGTCTTCAGAGACAGAATACGGTGTGGCTTTTCTGAGCCTGAGCTGAAGAGCTCACAGGTGGTTCTGAATCCAGGCATATTTACTACTAAAGTCCTTACAATTTCAAAAAACACCCAAAAAAAACCTCATGGGGTACAAATCTTACACCATCGAGAGACGACCAAGAAAGAAATCACTCTTAGAAGCTACCCAAGATGAAATCAAGGGCCAAAGGAAGACAAAGCCAATCAGGCCTCTGCAGAACCCCGAGTCCTCCTGAATACCTTGTCTCTGCAGGACATGCAGCCCTTGTGTGGGAAATGAACCAACATATGCAACGTGTGACTCACATCCCTGTCGTTGTTCCCACAAAACCTCCAGAGGCAGCCCCTCATGCCACCTGTAGCCCCCAAGGAAACAGCCTTGCAATGCCGGCCTCTTCCACAGAGGCCAGCGGCTCCTCCATCTGTACCTGCAGGACAATACCGTAAGACTTGGGGTGCCTGGTGCCAACAGAATAGCAGTTGCACCCTCCTTGAGCAACACCATGGCTCAAGCGTTCCCTGCCCAAGCAGAGAAAGAAATGACACTGGACTTCTCATTCTTATTTTTCTCCTCAGCAAAAAGTCCGGCATAGAAATTTATTTAGCAACATGCGTGATGATCATTTTCTCGAAGATACCAACTCATAGGTCTCCAAGCCCAGTCTGTTCAGGGGAATCTTGTGGCCACAGTTAGCAGGCCTTGAGGAGAAGAAGCAGGGCCTATGGGGTCAAGGGCTCCCAGTTATCACTTGGGCCCTGTTTCTTTTTCTTTTTCTTTTTTTTTTTTTAAATACCAGGGATTAAACCCAGGGGTGCTCAACCACTGAGCCACATCCCTAGCCCTTTCTATATTTTATTTTTAGAGACAAAGTCTGAGTTGCTTAGGGCCTCACTAAATTGCTGAGGCTAGCTTTGATCCTCCTGCCTCAGTCTCCTGAGCCGCTGGGATTACAGATGTGCACCACCCTGCCCAGCTGGGTCCTCCTGTTTCTAAGGGCAGCCAGCACCATGTGGAGGGAACAGTCTCTGCCCAGGGCCACAGGTGGTGAAATTCCACACCAGACAGGAAAGGCTGGGGGGCTGTTCCCCTTCTCCTCACATGCAGACTGGAGAAGACATTCAGGGAAGTGAGGTGAGTGTGGAAGAATGAGGTCACTCCAAGACCATGATTCTCAGACCTACTTCTACCCAGGACCCCAGGGAACATTACAGAATACAATGGTTCTGACCTAACCAGCTCTATCTGGGATTGCCAAGAGTCATCAGCTCTGAGTTTTGAATCTGTGGTTTTTTCCCCAATTTTCTACAAAAATACACATTCCCCTTGAAACCAGAAACAAAAAATAAAAAGACATTCCCTTCTTTAAAAAAAAAAAAAAAGTTCAACCTATCCTGCATGCCCTAGTGCTGGCAGGAAATGGTCCCTCTGGGCTAGATACAGGGGCCAGCAGCCAGCAGCCCACAGGGAGACCTATGTCCTGGCTGAAGCCACAGTCAGCAGGGAATGGAGGGAAAGGAAGATACCCAGACTGCACCAGTCCAAGTCCAGTCTCAGCACTGGTCAGTGATTACCAGCAGGCGGGTCAGGCCAAGAAACCAGGAATATGAGAACTCTGAACACATGACCCAAATACCATGACTTTTAACTAACAACTCAGAATTCAGGAAAACCATGCTTTAGGGTGCTCTACCTACTCGTGTGGACATTCATGCCACTCAACAAACACCAACATGGGCTTGAGAAGCAAGGGTCAGCAAGGCTTCCATAGATTGCTCAGAGCAGGAGGCAGATGAGAGGCAGGCAGACATGGCATGTGCCTGGGGCAGCCAAGAAGTACAGGCCCAAATGGGGTCAAGAGGGCCAGGGACACACTTTTCCTCAGGCCCTTCTGCAACATGTGCAAACCATGAGTAGAGGTCAAAGGCAAAACCAATTAGTTTCTACCCCTTGTCCGTCAACTCTGACAAGAGCTGCAAGACATCCTCATAAGCCGAACAAGGGCCCCGCTGGGTACAAATCTCTAAGTCAACTGCCTTCGTGGTCTGTATCATGGAGACCTGGGCTGCTGCAGGTCAAATGTGCCTGAAATGTAACAGGACCCGAATGATATATGTTGTATACAATACACACCAGGTTGCAGAGAGAATAAAAAATAAATAAAACAAGCACCCTCTGGCATATCTGCACTGACCACATGGCAGGAATCCTGATGCTTTGCACAGTGGGCTGGGAAGAGCATCCTCCTGTCTTTGCCTGGACACAGCACCAGTTCTTACCATCTTCCCAGGAGAAAGGCCGCCGAGGGGGCACGGCAGGCCGCTCGGGCAGGTGCATTCCAGAGGCCTCTTCCAGGCCAATGCCGTCCAGCTGGCGCCGGGCCTGCCTCAGAACCACGCCGCCCTGATCACGCAGCCTCACTGCGGCTCTATAAAACACGGTGTCCTTGGCATTGTACTTCAGGCAGTTATCTACAATGAGGTCAAAATCCTCCTCAAACGCACGCAGGTTTCTATACCCCTGAGCTTCTAGTCGTTTCCTCATCGTGGCAAAGTCCATGGGATGTTTAATATGGTCCAGATAATCCGGTACCTGATTTTAGGGAGGAAAACAATCATTTACAAACTAAAACAGGGTTCTGAGCTTACTCTACTTACCTACACTAGCAATCATATTTGTGAGCCACACACCCATCTCAAGAGTATTTTCATACAGCTAACAAATGGCAGCACCAAAGCAAGCTGACAAGGACCCTCCTGACCCAAGTTTCTTTAGCTACAAGTACCACTAGCCAGGCAATGGTGCCAATTGCTGAGGCTGAGAGGAGATGCCCTCAGGCACTTGCTGTACTTCACAGTGAAACCTATTTTTAATAAAATACTTATATATAAAAATCCTGCTCCATTTGTGTACAATGAATCAAAGAGTATTCTGGTGTCGTGTATAACTTATTAGAATAAGTAAGTAATGTATACATGCCTTAAATAAAATTAGAATATGTCTACAGTGTTCCCCAGCTAAACATTAACCATCAAACAGCAACTCTTGAGACAGAAAAGCAACACGCACCTCCTTCAAACTCACGGGCTGGGCAAAGATCTTAGCGGGGTCCTTCTCCTGCAGCTGCTCCAGGACTGAGCGCAGCAGCACAGTCAGTGGAGTCAGCCGCAGCTCCATGGCCATCTGTTCCACCTTTACCTGCAACAACAGCACACGCTCACCATCAGGGACTCAGGCACACCCCTTGGGAACCTTGGTTCCTTACGTTCTGCACAGCCACAGAGAAACCCCTGCAGACCAGGCATCACATGTAGGCCAGCCCCTGCTACAAGGCAGCCCTCCTCCTGAGCCCTGCCTATACTTATTTCAAGGAAGCTAACAACACAGCCTTCTGTTAAGGACCTGCAATCCAGGGCCAGTCACCTGACCTGGCTCAAGGGAGGTACAACTGTGGGGCTAACTGTGAGGCAGGAACATGCTGGGAAGTGGGGCTGCCTAAGGGTGTCTCCAGAGCTCCTGTGAGGCAAACAGGGGTCCTGGATACCCACAGGTCGCTCAAGGAACAGCCCAGGGTAAAGGGGGACCTCACCTGCTCACGCTTGAGCTTCTCCCTCTTGCGCAGCAACTCGATCAGCAGTCGGGCGCGCTCCAGGTCATGCCGGAGCCGCTGCCAGTACTTCAGCTTCTCTTTGGCTGCTTTCATTTCTTCATCGTTTTCTCTCTGAAAACATTAATTGAAACTTCCCCTCAGTCAAGCACACAGACTCTTCCTGCCAACGGCCTCAGATGCCTGCACAAGCAGAGCCCACTGTGCCCTGCATGCCAGTACCAGCCAAAGAGGTGTCCCACAGGCCTGTCCCAGCTGTGGAGCTGAGGGAGATACAGGACCCCAGGAGAGCTGGGAGGGACAGCATGACGGGAATGCACCAGGTGCACAAAACCAGGTCTGTGTCCATCCACCTCACAGCATAGAGTAGCTTGGGCTCTGGGCTTGCAGAGAGGCGTGGGACAGGCATGCTGACACCCAACCCTGCCCTTGGAGATGGCTACACTCTGCAGTCCCCAAAGACGGCTCCTCTCCTGCCTTCCCTCCTTGGGGGGGCGGACAGAGTGGTGGACCAGGCAGCATGTGCCATGACCTCCCCATGGACTATGCCAACCTGTTCCCAACAAGTCATAGATACGAAAGCACAGTACTGCAGAGCCATGGCACGTGGTGGTAGAGAGCACACTGCGTCTGCCTGGCCCTATAATCAGTCACCCTGGCTATACAGAGGTCTTAGCAGGATGAAGAACCACAGCAACCCATGCTGGCCCTACAGGCTCACAGAAGCCTCTCAGAGGGTATACTCAGAGGCACAGGCACACTCCCCTACAGCAACCACTGCAGAGTATCCAGCAAGACAACCAAAGCCCTTCCCAGCACAGGACCAGCTCTCTAGCCACCTGGCAGCAAATGACAACCAGAAAATTTACCAGCCAATGTAAGACATGCCAACAGGCCTCCAGCACTCCTATACCTTATCCAATCAAGACCCCGCCTCTGCTCCCCTGCTCCGGGCCTCTCTCTGACAACACTTCAAACTTCCTTTTCCTGCCTAGTCAGGGCACACCCACACTAAGAACACTGGTCCTCAGGTCACTGCCCAAAGTGAATACCCATCCTCTGCCTTATGGAGGAGGGACGTGGCAGGGACACTGCACCCCACTTACAGGACCACACAAGACAGCTTATGTCCAGGACCATCTCCATACAGTGGCTCAGCATGCCCTGACCCTACCACCATGGGAAGGAGAATGGCCTACCTGGGATGTCTGCCCTGTACTGCTGAAGGATGACCCCTGGACACACACCACTGGGCAGCCACAAGCCAGGAGCTGACATCAATTTCTAGAACAAGCCCTACACTCATGGGACCTCGCTATCTCTGGGCTGCTCTGCCCTCACGTTCCCACACCCAGAGGACAAGCATGCTTGTTCAAGGACACAAGGTCTGATGGCAAATGGTCATGGAATCCACCACTCAACAGTGAAAAAGCCCTGAGTAAAGATGTGCAGGAAGGCCAGGAGGCACACAAGACAATGTACCCTGTGCCCATCTCAAACCAGGAGGTTCCTGCCTGCAGGGAAGCAGTGTCAGCGCCCACCATAGCACAGGTCACAGGGAACACCTAATGCTACTAGAAATTCTCAGGCATTGAATCAGGATTAACAATTTCACTCACATGAACAATGCTAGTAATATATTTAAAATGTGGATCTGACAAACCACATCCCTAAAAGCATCTGAAAATCATACTGCCTATCAGTTGGAAACATTCTGAGGATACTTGGCCTGGACCGTGACACCAAATAATCTTCTAAATACCAAGAAGCCCCTTCATGTTCACGAGCTAGCAAAATGTGCTAGTTTGCCCAAGGCCTAGGTTTAATAAGAAAATGCCATCCAGCAGCAGTGTGGTCACATGCATGGTGATGGAGCACTGTGGCCCTCACTCCTGCATGCCATGGCATCATGACTGAAGGGCCCGAGTACACACAGTCTCGTCTACTCCAAAGTCCTAAACCTCCTTGTTCTGCAAATGTCAACTCTGGAAGACACCTCATAGGAGGACCGAAGTAGAGAGGTTTCTGAGAGAGGGAAGTACAGAGGTGGTTGCCCACTGCCAGGAAGAAATGCCCACCCAAGCTAAAGAGCCTCTATTCAAAAAACAGGAAGAAGACCCAAGTGCTGGGATGGGAGACGTCCCCCATGGTGAGGAATGGCTCAGCAGTCACAACAGAAACCCCAGTGCTGAGGGATATGCCAGTAGGGCTGTAGACACTAGCCAGCTCCACAACAACAAATCCCATCCTGGACACTGCACCAAGGGCCTGAGACCCAGAGAGCAACCAGTCCCAGCCCAGCCAGCCCCAGTCTCCCTGAGATGCCACCAGCAGGAGGCTGGGAGGGGTGGCAACCTAGAGGGAGTTGATAGACACACTCGCATGGCAAGAAAGGAAGACCCAGGGAGCAGGATGAATGGAGAGAGGCCAGACTGAGTACACAACTGCCAGACTGCAGGCCAAATCTATGCAGCCACCTTATTTCTTCCTCCAGACAGTGAAGAACATGGTACTTGTCCTTCCACTGTCTAGGGCATACAGCCCTCTAAGAAGGCCTCCGGACCCCAGCTGCACTACTGGCAACCTTGGGGGCCTAGCTTTCAAAGTTGCTCATCCACCCTGTCTGTGGTATACCTGAACGGTCAGCCACGGGACCAAAGGGCTCTGCCAGTCTTCTCCCAGGGCCTGGGTGAGGGCAGACACCCAGAAACCTGGGCAAATCAAATTCTAACATCAAGTACTTCTACTTTCAAAAACCATTAGGAGCCAGGCACGATGACACACACCAACATCCCAGCAACTCAAGAGATAGGAGACAGCAAGTTCCTAGACCAGCTTGAGCAACTTAGCAAGACCCTGTGTCTCAAAATAAAAAATAAAAAGAGCTGAGGTGAGACTCAGTGGTAGAGCATGTGCCTAGCAAGCAAGCAGGAAACCCTGAATTCAGGCCCCAGAACCACCACCAAAAAAGATTAACTCAAGTCTTTTAAACATCCCCTGAACAGCACCACTGTCATGGAACCCCTAGAAAAATCAATCCTCATAGGACAATATAGGAGTAATCTGGGGCTGTCACCCATCAGTTCCCGCTTACCCCCACATGGCACTGCAGGTGCATATGCCCCACCAGAAGGTCAGCATGGTCATCCACAGCCCTTTCAGCAATTCCAAGTCCCTCCTCCCCAAAGCCCTCTTAACTGGGAGGTAATGCAGGCCTCCTGACACCACTGTGGAATATGCTGGGCTCCAGTCCACAGACCCTTCCTCTCCACCTCCTAGTGAGGTGTCCTCATAGACTTTCCTAGGACTGTTTCAGTCTGACCGACCCAAGCACCTGGTGGCACCATCTTCTCCCATCTTGTCCGGTCTCCCCCTTTTCCTCCCTGGCCTTCCTACCAGTTCCATTGTGCCCAGGCCCAGCCACCCACAGACCACACAAGCCCTGCATCCTTCAGTGTTTGTGAAGGGCAATGATCCCCACAGCCTTCAGATCCCTCCCAGCCACATCAGTGCTCTTTTCACGGAGACTCTATGGACATTTGCTCCTTTGTGACTTTTTTCCTGGCTTAATGGAAAGCCTCTCCAGCCAGGGATGAGATCCCAGGTCTAGATTCTCCACTGCCGCTGGCCACAACCCTCTTTTCCAAATTCCCACCATCACAGAAGCAAAGCTGAAATCCTTGATCCTGCCAGTGTCCACCGTGGCCACATACTCCTCCACTCTGTAACTCAATGTCCTAAAGGATCCCCTGCCCCAAGTTCCTCTCCTCTATACCTGGAGCCCCTGTGGGGTTGTGGAGTAAGAAGAAAGGATGTAGAAGGGTGAACAACAGTGCCTCACAGCACAACAGGGTGAAAAATATGGTTGAGTCACTCAACAACCAAGAAATACCCACTGAAGCCGCTGCTCTGCCAGGCACTTCAGAGCCTGGCGATATAAGAATGCTTGCCAGTGAGGGGCTGACTTACAAGCTCAAGCTCCTCTGCAGAACACAAAAGAAGGAAAGATGCAAGTGGGGGAGTCTGCTTCATGGAGGCCCCAGACTCTCCACAGTCACTAGGAGATTATAGTGAGGAGCAGTTTCTATCCATAGCCTCTACCAAGCACCAAGGACTCCACCACCCAGATCAGACCCACAGACCATTCACAGGTACAAGCAATCTGTCCACACAGGGCTCAGTCAAGCAGCACCACTGAGCTGACAGCCAACCGCACTCCCCCCTAAATCACAGGGCCCCACCAGGAACTCTAGAGCCACACACTCCTACCAAAACCAGAGCTGAATTTCACACCAGACTAATAATGCTACTCCCTGCTCAGGACTGCAGCACAGGAAAAGGGCCACACAAAGGTCCCATGAGGCTCCACCCAGCCCTCCTAGCCTCTCAGCCTGAGGAGGTGGCTGACACAAGACACACTCTCCCAGAGACTGGCCTTTCCTTGCAAAACACAAGTGAGCAGAGCTGCCAGATACATATTTCTGGGTGTGTTCAGGAGTACCATTTTTTGTCTTCAATTCATTTTTGTGACATCTTACAGAAGCCAATTCTTTACTTTCTACTTTTCTTTTACTTTTTTTACATTCTTTCAAAACTGTTTTATAATATCAGATGGCTCCTTAGGTCTACATTAACAGCTAAAATGTTGAACTGTTAAGGTGCCTGAGCTTGTTCTTCTTAAAAGGAAACCTCTGGACCCTCCCATCTTGTCCGGTCTCCTCACTAAATGCTAAAACTGGCCTTCAGAGCAAAGCCCGGAAACAAATCACTCCTATGCAACGCTGCCAGGGCCCACCGTGCAGACCAGCCATCAGACCCAGGCGCTCCTCCAACTCTTCCTGCGGTCCCTGCTCTGAACACTCACGCAGCCAATGTTACAACAGCTTCCCTCGGCAGCACTTTCTGGCCCCAGAGCTGCCAAGTGCCAGGCATGGGGCCGACAATTCATCAGCCTGTGCAGCGACAGAAGGAAGAGCAGACACACAGGCCATGAGGATGCATGTGTCACCTGCACAATCCCAGCACAAAGGCCCAGTGCCACATCCTGCCTAAAGAAAGTGTCCTCCATGCCAGGGGCTGTCTGCTCAGTGTGGTCAGTGTGTCAGGAGGCAAGAGACACTGAGGCTGACAAGGCGCATGCACGTACCTGCTGCGTGTTTCTCTGGGACTGCAGGCTGGACTGGAGCCGCCGCAGCAGGGGAGCGCCATTCCTAGACAGCCTTTTGAGTAACCAGTAGCTGTGGGCTCGCTCCACAAACTGCTTCTTCCGCTGAATGGCCACCTGATTCGCAATCCTATTTAATCTAAAACATGGAAAAACTCAGAGTTTAGCTTTGAAGCAGTACATTCAAATGTTTTCATCAAAGAAACTAGAAATGAAGCATTACTTTTAATAAAACCACAGGTTCACAATTTAGTCTTCTCCTGAGCCATGATATACATTATTTCTACTATCCCTAGTGATACAAAAACAAAGTTCACAATTCAGCTATTTGAAGATTTCATCTACCAAAATATGTATCAGATTAAACATCTAAAACGAAAGAATTGAGCAAAGCTTTAAGTACTTGTGATTCTTTGTGTGCTCTGTCGACTATTCACGGGCTGGCTGGGGCCATCACTGCGGTGCTGAGGCTTCTCAGACTGACACTGTGGGCCTTGGTGCCACTCAACCCTCAAGGAAGACAGACTGGCCCACTGGAGGGACAGCAACTGACAGCCAGGGTGGGAAGAGTCTGTTCTGACTAAGTGACAACTGGGCCTCTCCAGACTCCTGAGAAACCTCATTTTTCTAGGGACTACAAAATGCAAAATGATAAAAACAAGTGCATGAGAATGAGGTCCTTATTTAAACCCTTAAAGGCCAGCCAGAGAGGCTTTCTGCTAGAACAAAAGACGGCCCATCATCAATTTGCCTCAAGGAAGCCAAAAAAATGATAAATTCAATCATAAACCAGCACTTACTGCAATAAGCAGCTCCTCACCCCCCACCAAACATCAAAAGTTTCAAAACTGTTTTATAATATCGGATGGCTCCTTAAATTAAAATTAAGGAATTTTGAGTTCAACTTTTTGAAGACTTCAAATCAAAACTTTTACAAAATAAACAATAAACAAAAACATCAGGTAGAAAGCACAGCTCCTTCCTGAGACTGCTCCCAATCTCTCTGCTGTAGGTCTCCTGCCCTGAGGCTCTCCTTGGGTCACCAGGACCCTTTCTGTGCCTGCATGCTCAAGGCAGCCCAGGCACCCAGCCCACATCTCCAATGAAGGTGACTGCAGCACACTAAAAGGCTGGGCTTTAGCAAAAGTGGAGTGGGGGACCCTTGGGCTCAGACCATGGCCCCACACAGGTTCTACAACCACAAGTTGGATAGGGCTGGTCATGCTCAGCTCATGGACTACTGCTTGGCACAGCAGTTTAACCACTTCTGACTGTGAAGTGAACTGTGTGAATCCTAACACTACACAGCCCAGAGCAGCTGCACCCAGACAGGGATGCTGGGACACAGACCCTTGGGTTCTTTTAATGATCAGATGAGGCAAAACAAATGGAAGTATGTTTGAGCAATCTGAAGAGCCAAGGAAATGCTGGTTGCAATCCACTTCATGAAGCACCTCATAAGACAACCACACCTTCTGCAGCAGCAGGATCTCTGGAAACATGCATAGCCCCAGGGCTGCAATGGAATCACATGTAAAGTGCACCCCAGAAGACAGCACCCAGACACCACAGGTGCCAACACTGGCTCTGCCCTCGTGAGCAATGGCTCACCCCGAGGCGGCACCAGGTGCACAGGCTGCAGCCACTACCTCCTGGCAGCAAACACAGCCACACTCCAACCTGCACCCATCAACCAGTCTAACTACCAGCTTACTAGGAGTGCAGGGTGGAACAACACACCAGACTGCACCAGGGACACACAATCAGCCCAAGCCCAGTCGGGGGTCCGCTGCAGACAAGAACCTGGGAGGACCCCCAACAATTAAATTGCAATGAAGAGACCAAAGAAGAGAGATCAAAAGACATAAATGCTGGATGTAGTCTGTCCCAAGAGTCCATGGACAAGAAGCCTAATTGCCAGCGTGGCAATTTGAAGAGGTGCCCAGTGGAAGGTCAAAACAACAGCTGCTCTCCACACTCTGGCTTCCTGTCTTGCCACACTTGCTCCCACCAGAGGCCAAATCCATGAGGCTGCCCCAGCTTGAACTTGCAGCTCCAAAAAATGCTGGGTCCTAGAGGATGGGAAGAGGCTAGAAGGGGATGGGGCTAGCAAGGTCTTGCCTTCTAACATGAATGGTGGTTACAAGGTGTTTACAGTAAATCAATAATGCACACATCAGTTTTACAACCTTTCCAGTCTTGTATTGTATGTACAAAATTTTTAAATATTCATCAACAGTGCACTCAAAATTTTCTCAGTACAGCTGATTTTAAAAGCAAGGTGTCTTCAAGGGGAAGGTTTCAGGTACATTTTGGTGATACAGCCTTTAGAGATAACAATAAACACCTACGCCTTGCAATAGCTGGTTACTCTAAACCTTCTGAAGGGCTTAAGCTTGCCCACCTTCTACCTTCTGGAGAAATTCAAGCATTTAAGCGGAGGTCAACTGATTAACATCAGTTTGTAATTTTTGGTACAACATTTTTTTTGGCTTACTTTATTCATTTATTTGGTGCTGAAGATCAAACCCAGGGCCTCATACATGCTAGGCAAGCATTCTTCCATTGAGCCCCAGCCCTTGGTATAATATTTTAAATAGTTTTTTTGGAAGCTAAAACTTGAGTACAGTGCTACCATAAAACTGCATTTAATACAACCTACTTTAGATGTGACCAACATTTCCACCATATAAAAACAAACCAGGACAAGAACTGAGGGTGAACTTGTCTCACTCCCACAGTAAGTAATGTTTGTCCGTGAAAAGGTTAAGCTTTTTTTTTTTTTATTGAACTCAGGGGGCACTCAACCACTGAGCCACATCCCCAACCCTACATTCTATTTTATTTACAAACAGGGTCTAAGTTGCTAAGCGCCTCGCCATTGCTGAAGCTGGCTTTGAGCTTGTGATCCTCCTCTCTCGGCCTCCCGAGCAGCTGGGATTACAGGTGCGTGCCACTGCACCCAGCGTGGAAGCTGTCTTTTTTAAAATCCCATTTACTCCAGGGCTGGGGTTGTGGCTCAGTGGTAGAGTGCTCTCCTGGAACGCAGGAGGCACTAGGTTCAATCCTCAGCACCACATAAATGTAAAATAAAGATACTGTGTCCACCTAAAACTAAAAAATAAATATAAAAAAAAATTGCAACAATAAATTCCATTTACTCCAGATACACATCTCCAGTAAGCATCACCTGTGGTCAACTCTCAAGCTGAATACTTGGTGTTTCCATGTGTACTGACAATTTTAACAACTTATCAAGAGGAAACCTAGGTCCACCTGGCATGCACTGGGACAATGGACAACAGAAAGAAAGCAGCTCTGGATAGAAGCCAGATGTGCCAGGTCAAGTGCCAGACTACTCTCAATCCACCACACCACCTTCAGAAGTATGTGCATATCACTTCATGTCCTAGAAGTTACAACTCTCCACCACTGGACCCTGGAGTGAAAAACGCCAGATTCCAATTCAAAGTGCAAACTGCTTTTTAAAATTACTTTAGGGACTCACGTAAGGAAAGAGCTAAAGAATTCAGAATTTGAGAGGGGAAGAGAATGGAAGAGAAGCTTCCAGGCTGCAACGACTTAAGCCCCCATCTCAACTTTTAATCAAGAGTTAAGGGAAAACAGACTACAACTGATCTCAACAAAGACACAATTCAAAGAAACAAGAAAGAGGCCCCTGAAACCTGGACTGAGATGCCAGAAAAGCAACCTGATATACACCTGTTAAGCCACGACATGCATTGGGGGCGACTGGGGAAGGGTCCCTTCAAAGAGGAAAGATCACCAGAGTGGCAGAGTCAGGTGCTCACTGCATGGCAAGGAGGAGATTCCTGAACACCTGTCGACAGAGACTACATTAACAAAAACTACCTGAAATGAAACATACGGACTGAAAGAGCCAGCACTGTGAGGACGCCAGCACCAGGCTGGGTGCAGCTCAGAGTGGAGCACTGGCCCAGGAGCACCAGGCCCTGGATTCCACCCCAGCACGGCGTACAGGAGAAAAAGAATACACAAGGAAGCCTCACAAAACCAAAACTTGTTCTTGGAAGGAAAGGCCAGTCAACTTCAGAAAGACCCCTTCAAGGAAAAAAGACCAAAACTGTTGGGGAAAAAGTATAACGGCAGCCGCACCCCAGGAAAAAAAACCCAACATGGCGCCTAAGGACCTTCTCTTCCTATTTTCCCTTTTCACTGGCACGAAAAGTTCCCGCCAGTGTAAACTCTCCCGCAGGCGACAATTTCAAATCTCACTGGGGGGAAACCCTAGCCCCAATAAGAACTAATTTCGTGGGCTCTGGAACTGACATCTGGAAGAACTTACCAATAAACGAGTGACCCGTCATTTACCTAAGCCCTGCTACCTCTCCTTAGATCTATATAAAGCCCACAGCCTTTTGTAATAAAGTGGAACTCTCCCCGGCGAAGTGTCTTGTGTGGAGGAATTCTTTCATTCTGGTGCCGAAACCCAGGACACGGGTGAGCTCATTTTAACAAGAGCCCCGGGCCCGGCTCCACCGAGACACTCCGCCCTAGTCTGCTCTTTCAGACGCTGGTTCACTGCACTGACCACTGAACTGGTCTAGGTAAGTCCCCCCTCCGCGGCTCACCAACTCTCTTCGGGCTAACAGCAGGAACTGTGACCGTGACTGTCCGGCACACTCCTGACGCCCGGTAGGGAGGAGGGAACCCACCCCACTAAGACCTTCACTGGCCACAGTGGACCCTCTGGTGATCCACTTCCCTTTTGGGCGAGAGGCTTCTGGGTTTACACAAGAGGCTCCCCAGTTTCTTCCTCCTCCGCCAGAGCTCCGTTCCTCTCATTCCTGACTCTTTCGCTCCAGTCAAAAACTTTCCTGACGTCAGGTTGCCTGTGGCTCCAGCCCTATTGGGTCTCACAGATCGCACTTCACTGGTAACGACCAGGTAGTGCCCTCTGTATCCTCGCGAAGGTGGGTCATTTTGGGGACGCCCACTTGATCACTCGTTTGCCCTGAGCTTCCAGAAAGCTATTCCAACCCGGGTTTTCTCTTTGTCCCTCTCTCTTACTCTTATTCTCTCTCTCTCTCTCTCTCTCTCTCTCTCTCTTCCATCTCTCCCTGTGACCATGGGTGTCTCTTCGTCTGTACCTGAAGC